AGCAGATAAAATGTGTAGGTCACTTAACAAGGCGGGCCTAAGGCAGGGAGAGGGCATGGCCCAACGGAGTGCTCCAAGTGGGTCAGAGTTTGGTTTCTCTACTTGTTTTCCACCCTCGGGATGGTCTCAGGGTCTTGTCACGAGCTACCTCCACAACAGGTCACTTCCCTCACCCCTGTTCTTGTTGTTGCTGATCTGGGGACAGGGTTTCCTCAGTCGCTCAATTGCTCAGGCTGCCTTGGACCTGCCCGGTCTGGACACACGTGCCCCCGCACCTGGCTGACCTCTTGGTTCAAACTGGCCGGTGCGCATAAGCAGCCAGGTGCAGGGATGTGGGTACCGGGATCCAGGGGAACCTACCCTCCCAAAGGCATGGAACCCTGTGCTAGCCTCCGCCCTCTCAGACACGTGCCCCCGCACCTGGCTGACCTCTTGGTTCAAACTGGCCGGTGCGCATAAGCAGCCAGGTGCAGGGATGTGGGTACCGGGATCCAGGGGAACCTACCCTCCCAAAGGCATGGAACCCTGTGCTAGCGCCTCCGCCCTCTCCCACCGCGCTCCCCTCTGTCCCCGTTATCCAGGGCAGCCTGGACATCGTGACCTGCACCGTGGCCGTGAGAAGAGACGACCCAGAGAGAGCTCGTGCTGCATGCAGCCCTGGGCCTCAGAGTTGATGGTGAGCAGGGCCCCAGAGCCCAAGGAGGGCAATGCCTACAGGGCTCCCCAGCACTCTGACACCCTCCTCAGAGCTGTGTGCCTCTGCTCAGGAGCCCCTGAGGAGCTTCTGAACACCTGCTTTGGGACTCTGGCCTCTGAGGACATCCCGGATTGGCCTCCTAGTGGAGATGTGCACTGTGGTGAGATGGCTGGGGTTTGGGGTGGAGCAGCAGAAGGAGGGTCTCCTCATGAGGGCCTTGCTCTGTTCCCCAGGGCCACTGTCATCACTGAGTTGTTTTGAAGTTGAAGTGTGTATGTCACTCAGGTTGGCCTTATATTCACACCAGCTATCTCCTTTCCTCAGCCTCCTATGCTAGGATCACAGGCATAGATCACCAGGGCTGGTTGAACCTGTGTTCTCCCAAAGAGCATGTAATCCCGTATGCCTTTACCTCTCTTAGGGAAAGGGAATATGCAGCCCCTGAAGACAAAGAACTTGCCTGATGTCTTAATGTATCTCTGTGACCACATTTCCTGCAGTCCCTTCCCATGGCATTGGTAACCATGGCAGTGAGTTTGGAGTGGCTTTGCCAGACCGTGTGTACACGTGTGCTGTGTCTTTCTGTTCCTTGATTCCTGCATGTTTTACATACCATTTGGCAACCTGCTCATTTATTTATTAATTCATTTGTTATTGGGGATAGAACCTTGAGCTTGTGAGGCAAGCGGCAGCACCACTGAGCTAAATCCCCAGCCCAGCAACTTGCTCTTTTCAGTCAATAATACATTAAAAATTTTACTAGAGACTGGGGATTTAGCTCAGTGGTGTCACACCTGCCTCACAAATGCAAGGTCCTGAGTTCAAGCCCCAGGACCAAACAAACAAACAACAAAAAAATCTTTGCCAACCATGGGTGGTGGCACACGACTGCAACTCTGGCATTGGAGAGGCTGAGGCAGGTGGATTGTTGTAGGAGGCCAGGCTCCAACTTTATGCTGACCCAGGGGATGATGAGGCTTAAAGAACAAAGACACAAAAATAATTTAGAAAAGGGTGGCCAGGGGGCTCTCTACTCTAGTGAACAGAGTCCCGTACTGACTGTGCTTCTCACTTTTTATTAGACTAACACAAAGAAGAAGCAAGCAAGCGTGTGATCCAGAGTTCAGGGAAAGTTCATTGGGTTCTCATAATTTACAGATTGCACCCAAATGTGTATTTTCTGTAATTAGACTTCAGCTGTTTCTCTCCCCAAAACTGGTTGACACCAGCATGCTAAGGAATAGCCCGAGGGCAGGGGACAGCTTTCTGTCTTTATCCCCCTGTCTCAAGGGGAACTCAGCCTAGCCCTTCGTCTTTACCCCTGGTTTCTCACAGATCTCCAGAAAGTCAAGGCCAAACAGGCTACCTGAACTACATAGCAAGACCCCTGCCTCAACAAAATAAAATATCATCCATGTCATTCACAATCAAACACACCCTGCCTCTCCCCACTCTTTCTCTACTGGGGACTAAAGCCACAATCTTTACACTGAGCTACATCCCTCACCCTTTTATTTTTTTATTTTGAGACTGAGGCTAAATTGCTAAATTCTCCAGGCTGGGCTCAAATTTGTGATCCTCCCAGAGGGCTGGAATTACATATGTGTCACCACACTGGCTGCCCTCACTCTTTCTGAGTGCTGCCAGCTCTGCAGACAAGGACGTGCACACGTTTCACTACCCTCTATCTTTTGGATGTGCACTTAAGCTATTTCCAGCTTTCTCCCTCTCACCTCACTATTTTGGTAAAGATGCTTAATCAGGTCCCTTTGTCACCTGCAAGAGTTCCCAAGTGTTTGTAGGTCTACCTGTGTTGTTCAACTCTCGAGCTAATTATGCTTTTTACATTTTTAAAGGGTTATTCAAAGAGCTTTTATATATGCATGAAGCTCCAGGTTCAATCCCAGCATAGCAAAAAAAAAAGGACATGTGATACAGACCCATATCCAACTTGCCTAGAGTATTTACTAAGTGGACTTCTACAGAAAGTGTGCCAGCTTTGGCTATAGGGCAAGTGGTACCCAGAAATAGCACCCAGACCATTTCACAGGTGGGAAAGCTAAGAGAGGAGCAAGGTCTTGGCCAAGGTCACACAGAACTGGGCTCTCTGTGGGTTGGATGAAAGCTCTTATTTCCAGCTTGGAGTGGCTGAGTGAGGCCCAGAATGGATGGAGCTGTGCCCTTGCTCCAAGGAACCTGGAGCTGCAGGAGACATAAACAATAACCCAGGAGGATCAGGGTTCAAGGTGTGCCCCCAGTGGAGTGGAGAAGGGGAGAGGGCTCCTCCGTTCTTCAGAGCAGAGTTAGTATCAGCGAGTGGCCTAGAAGTGAGGTGTCCCCCATAAAAGGGGGGTGCAGCTGTGCTTGGACAAAAGATGGGACGGTGGATTCATTGGGTCAGCCGACTTGAAGAATCGCATTTTATATCCACACTTTGGTTTTAGGAGTTCTGGGACGCATGCAAGAGGGTTATGGGCCAGATTCATTTCCTGCCCCCAGGGCTCAATTTGTCAAACTGGAAGTATTTCCAAGGATCAAGATACCTCACCTAGGCCAGGAGGCGTCCTGAGGGGGCGTGGCTACAGTAGCCCCGTTAGCAGGGCGGGGCTTGCAGAACCGGGCTGAAGCCTGGAAGGGTGCAGGGGCTCCAGCTCCAGCTGGCTGGTTGGGGAGGAGACTTGCGAGAGAGCCGGCACCGGGGAGTCTCCTACCCTATGCCCAGTTCTGTATTTTGGATGGTCCTGCTCTCTTAAGTGAGCAAAACTAAGTCATAACAGGACGCTCACGGGGAGAGGGCCAGGTGCTTTGTCTGCACAGAACCTTGTGTTCCGTGCCCAGCCCTTGCAGGCACATCACCCCACCATTCCTTTCCCCATCCATGCCCGCTCTGACCCCTACCCAGCCCCACACTGCGGTTGTGAGTCAACGGCCGGCTGGGCCCCCTCTGCCCACTTCCTCATCTCACCCGGTGGCAGTGGCAGGCAGCAGACTGTGAGGGGTATGAGGGGTGGGGCCCTGGCTGACCCCGCCCTCCCTTGCGGGGGTATGGAGGTGTCGCCCCTTACTATCCCCTCAGTGAGGGAGGAGCTAGACTAGGCCCTTGGGTTGAGACAGACGCCCAAATGTGGGATTTAAGAGAGAAATTTTAAGGAAGCCCTTGTCTAAGCAGAGGGCTTCCCCCAGGGCCTCCTGAGACTATTAAGAAATGGAGGGCCAGGGATGTAGCTCAGTGGTGCCTGCCAAGCGCAAAGTCCTGAGTTCGACCCCCGGTATGGGGAGGAGGGGGGCAGTGGAGAAGTCGGTGGGGAGAGAGTAGGACGGGAAAAATTGTGCTCCATTGAGATCCCCATAAGAATTCCCAAAGTGAGCAAGAAGAAGAGATCCAGGAAGCATCTGCTCCACCAAGCTTGCCCCCTAATTTGGGGGGTGAGGTCTGGGGTGCCCACCTGGGCAATAATGTTAAGAGGGAAACTGCCAAAACAGTAACAAGGACACAGGGGACTTTCTCAGCTCTAGAGGGTCCTGCAAGAACAGCAGTTTCCGCAGGGATGAAGGAAGGGCACTGTGGTACAAACTGCATGTGTGAGGCCACTCAGATCCTGGCTTCGGGGAAAAAAGGTTTATTCCTATGAAGAGAGGCTGAGATTGGAGGCAGAATTCAGCAGCTAGCTGGGAAAGAAAACTACATGTATATGGGACTTGGGAAGGGGCTATGATCATAAAGGAATGCTTATGACAGAGTCAAAGGATGGTCAGCACAGGTGTGTAGACAATCATTGGGCTTCTTGGCTCTGGGCAGATTGTATACACTGTCCTAAATTTTCTTTATGATTGTCCTGTTTATTGAGAATAGCCTGTTGATTTCAGAGATCAGCCTGTTTGCTTGCAAAGGTCTCATTACAGTCATGTTGAAAGGCAGAGTTCAAATGGGGGCTGTGGTCTTCCTAGCCCCACTGTGCACCATCTGCAGCACTGACCAAGGGCTTAGTAAAGAGATTTCAGTATCTATTCTGCATTCTGCAAGAATTGTACCTGTTTTATTTTGAGAGGACAACATTCACCAACACCCACTTGTCAATCCATCAAGTTGGGATAGAATAGACCCCAATGCCAGTTGGACACATAACTGCAGCCTGGCCAATCAGAGATTCTGCAGGTCAGGCACATGATCCTAATGTGGCCAAAGAGGGCCACGTCTGGCACCAGCTGCAACTACTAGGAAATTGGCAAGCTCTGTCCACTGGGGACCATAGGCCCAGGGATCTGAACCTGGCCTGCAAATCCTGCTGCCTTACAAGGAGACTCTACATGGAAATAAAGCCAATTCTGAAAAAATTAAACCAAGAGATGGTTGCTATGACATTATGTGATGATTAGAGGCAGGACGGCTTAAGTGCCTGAAGTCTTCAGTTAAGTGGCCCAGTAAACTCCCTGCTTTGATTTTCTGGATTTCTCTCACTCACGGTTCAATGAATCCTAGTCAGTCACTGCTGTTGCTGCTGGTGGTCATACTGAGGAATTATCAACAACCCTTCTTCATTCACGTGATTCAAACAAACACCCTTCTCTGCCCAGCAACATCCCTGGGGCTCTGGCCTCAGCTTCCTCCCTCGTATTTCTTTCCTCCCTGTCCTGGACCTACGCCTTCTGTCAGCTTTCCTATCTCTGCAACCATTCAGCAATCTAGGCCCATTACAGCCTCTCTTCAGACCAAGGCCGAGGAATCTTCAGAGTTATCCTGGAGGTTTCCGCGGTGCAGTTGGGCCTTGGAAAGGGTCATACACATTCCCACAACTTTCGTGTTTGGGATGATGGGGTTTTCTGGAGCGCAGCAGAGGCCACACTTCTTGGAGGGGAAGCGCAGCTCTTCTCTGCATTAGTAACCCTCCCGTGACCCCGCCATGCTTCTCACACAGTACGACAGGGCTGCAAGGATGTATTAAGATGTCGGGGAAGTTCCTTGTCTTCAGGGGCTGCATATTCCCTTTCCCTAAGAGAGGTGAAGGCATATGGGATTACATGCCCTTTGGAAGAACACAGGTTCAACCAGCCCTGGCAAGGTACGCCTGTGACCCCAGCATAGGAGGCTGGGGCAGGCAGGTGGCTGGTTTGAATATGAGGCCAGCCTGAGTGACATACTCCAAGTTCAAAACAAACAACATAAAGAAACCGTTTCAAAGGCAAACGAAAAACCCCTCCCCCCAAAAGCGCACAGGATCCAGATGGGCATGGTGGTGCAAGCCTGCAATCCAAGGACACAAGAGGCTGAGGCAGGAGGTTCTGAATTGAGGCCACTGTGGGCTATATAGGGAGTTGAAGGCCAGCAAAAACAAAGAAAAACACAGGTCTTACTTAGGAGAGGTAATGCAGTGGTAGAGCACTTGACTGAGTTGTGTAAGGATCCAGGTTCACTCACCAGTGCTGCAAAACCAAACAAATCAAAAAGAGCAACAAGAGAGGGTCCTTACCTCCCAACACTTTTTGGAGGCCTGGTGGAGCCAAGAATAAGCTTCAGTGATGACAGTGGCCCTGGGGAGCAGAGCAAGGCCCTCATGAGGAGACCCTCCTTCTGCCGCTCCACCCCAAACCCCAGCCATCTCACTGCAGTGCAGGCCTCCCCCAGGAGGCCAATCCGGGATTTCCTCAGAGGCCAGAGTCCCAAAGCCTGTGTTCAGGAGGAGGGGCTCCTGAGCAGAGGCACACAGCTCTGAGGAGGGTGTCAGAGTGCTGGGGAGCCCTGTTGGCATTGCCCTCCTACTGGGCTCTGAGCTCCTCCTCACCATCAACTCTGAGGCCCAGGGCTGCATGCAGGGCGAGCTCCCTCTGGATCGCGTCTGCACACGACCTGGGGACCCTGGGAAGCAGACCACGGTGCAGGTCACGATGTCCAGGCTGCCCTGGATAACGGGGACAGAGGGGAGCGCGGCGGGAGAGGGCGGAGGCGCTAGCACAGGGTTCCATGCCTTTGGGAGGGTAGGTTCTCCGGGATCCCGGTACCCACGTCCCTGCACCAGGCTGCTTATGCCCACCGGCCAG